TTTTTTTGCTAAACTTATGCCGCTGCGAACATGAGAATAGTCTCCCTCGTCTTCTACTGCTTTTCCAATATCGTGTAAAAGCCCGGCTCGTCGGGCCAAAAGAACATCTAAATCTAACTCTGCTGCAATGCTGCCGGCTAATTTGGCTACTTCTAGGCAATGTTCCAGCACATTTTGACCGTAACTAGTGCGGAATTTTAATTTTCCTAAATGCTTAATTAATTCGGGGTGAACATTACTTAATTCCAACTCTTCCACGACCTCGGTCCCAGTTTTAACAATAAGTTCTTGAGTTTCAGAAACCACTTTTTGATAAGTCTTTTCAATTTGAAGCGGAGAAAAGCGTCCCTCCTTAATTAAAGATTGGAGAGTTAGCAGAGCCATGAATCTCAGTAAATATTGAAAAGAAGAAATTTGAATAGTCAATTCGTCGCTTTCTTTGTCAATAATCAACTCGGTGCGAGTAATTCGCTGAAAAGCATTGATATTTCTTCCATCTTTGCCGATTATTTTACTGATTATTTGAGGGCTCTCTACTTGTAAAGTGTCCGTGGTTTTAGTGAAAACCAACTCTGAGCTGCATTTTTCCAGAGCCAGACAAATAATTTTTGCACTTTCTTCTTTGGCAATTCTTTCGCTCTGCCTGATTTTTTCTTCCTTATATCTCTCTAATTCACGATCCACTTCGGTTCTTAATAAGGTTAAAAGGTCTTTTTTGGCTTCTTCTTTACTCAGAGGGATTATTCCTTCCAGTTCACCCATGACCCGCTCTTTTATTTCCTTAACCTTTTCCATTTCGGTGCGGATAGTTTTTTCTTTTTGAGAACTTATTGCTAACTGTTGAGTAAATAATTCCTCTTTTCGGAATAATTGATTAGCGAATTCACTTATTCTTTTTTCTTCTTGCTGCAATTTTCTCTCAACAGCCTCAATGTTTTCTTTCTTGGTAGTCAATTTCTTGTTAACAATTTCTAGCCTTTTTTCTCTAATTTTGAGTTTGCTCGCTTGCCGTTTTTGGTCACGAAGTAGTCTTCCCACTTCTAATCGACCCCAATAGGCTCTTTTGAGGTAAGCGAAAAATATTAAAATTAATATAATAAGAGAAAGGATGAAAAAAAGGAATAAATATCTATAACCTTCCCTTAGCCATTGTAAAAAATCCATATGAAGAAGTCAGAGTTATTAAAATTGTTAAATAAAAAGAGTAAGCCGCTAGCCGGAAACAACCGTTCCTTTTCTATGCGGGCCACAAAAAGAAAATTTGCTCCTAATCGGCAAAAATTTCAGATTGGAACCAAAACCTATTACATTCCTGCTAAATTAATTCGTACTTACTGGGCTAAATTAAAAAATTAAAACGAAGTCTTTAATTTAAAATAGGCAGTGTTAGGCACTTTCGTTTTTTCTAGTGCTTCCAAACCGGAGGAGGAAATGTTATCTACAAAAATTACTCGACGATGTATTTCTTGTTTAAGTTGCTCCTGCGACTTCTTATGCTTGTGAGGAGAGATTGGCACTGTAACTATTTTTTTTCATTTGCCTTTAAGAGGGAAAGGAATAGGACCACTAAAAT